AAGGCAACATTTCGAATTTTTAAGTTACCGGTTTTCATCTAGTATTTACATATATTTTACATTTCATAATTATTTCAATTCCGAAAACAATTTTTAATAGTATTAGTTAATGATAACAACTCTATTCATAATGCTTTTATTGTTGAAGTCTAATAATCATTTTGCCATCATTGTGTCATTGTATTGTTCTACATACTGGTTGTAAAAACACTCTGACTAACTGAGTTTGGCACTGCTCTACAACACAATCACAACACTACTTTTATAGCACCATAGTAACTACAAATCTGAGGCTGGCTTGAATCTGAAGTGGACATAGGCAAGCTTTTAGCATTCTTGAGTGGTGTACGGTCCTCAGATATCTGTCCGAGCAGATATTTGGCTCTGGTTTCAGCCCGGATGGTCAGACTGCAGGGTTAGCTGTGGAGAAGGCCAATCTGCAAGCCATAATGTGCCTATTTAAGCATCAAACCGCAAGATGAGAAATTAAGTTTCATGCTTGTCTTAACAGCTAATCAGTGTTTAGCCTTTATTCTCCCCACATGAACCATGAGCAGGGTCAGCTCTTATCTTATCTGTGTGATGCTCAGTAGCTCTACTGCAGCTCAGGGGCTGGTGCCAGAGAGAGCGCGCACACACACGCATACACATAAAAGAGAGATATATATTTAAATGGACATATAAACACAGATAAAGGCACAATTGTTTATATATACACATCCACACACACTATGACACAAACAGTGCGGATCTCTTGACTCACACACACCTACTCGCTTTGTTACTTATCCACAAATACAAACACACACACACACACACACTCAGGAAATGTAGAGCTCCTGATGGATGTGGGTGGCAGTAAATTCACCACAAAACTGGCAGGACGCAAACACACATTCAGTGTACAATTAATTACGCCTTCACTTTGAGAAGACATTGAGAGATTTGGAAACTAGGGTGTGGAGCAACAATTTTACAGTAATTCTATATTTACTGCCATTCTTTCTATTGCTACTTATCTGTTAACAATTAGCCTACTTACCAGTCACAGGACCCAGAAGAACCACCATGGCAATCAGTCCAACATCAAGAATTGTTATTCGGCCTTCAACTGCCATGTTTTTCTTTTCTCCTCCTCTTCAAAGACAATATATTCTGATTTATTCTCAGTTACTTGTATAGCTCTCTAGGCTTCAGACTGCAGTCAGGCAAGAATATTTGTGCTTTGGAGAGTCCAGCATCACACTTTTTTTTTCAAAACAGCATGTTGTTTTGCATGCAAAAGCAAGTTGTTCATTTGAGAATGGCAATGAAATAGTATAAAACTATCTTAAAGGTCTTGCATTAACCTTCACTGCTTTTATTTCCTCCAGCAGGAAGCATCAACTGTAACCAAATGATGACTGTGATATCTGTCTACTGAGTGCCAGTGTCTGTTGTAACAAACCAAATGAACAAATCACATCAAACTTTGTTTTCCCCTTTGTTCCAAATCACGCGCCCCATACATTTGCCTACTCAGAGTTTAGCGCAGTTATATGGGACATCCCGAGACCGCAAGTGTCCTGTGCCAGAGAGCGCACACACACGCATACACATAAAAGAGAGATATATATTTAAATGGACATATAAACACAGATAAAGGCACAATTGTTTATATATACACATCCACACACACTATGACACAAACAGTGCGGATCTCTTGACTCACACACACCTACTCGCTTTGTTACTTATCCACAAATACAAACACACACACACACACTCAGGAAATGTAGAGCTCCTGATGGATGTGGGTGGCAGTAAATTCACCACAAAACTGGCAGGACGCAAACACACATTCAGTGTACAATTAATTACGCCTTCACTTTGAGAAGACATTGAGAGATTTGGAAACTAGGGTGTGGAGCAACAATTTTACAGTAATTCTATATTTACTGCCATTCTTTCTATTGCTACTTATCTGTTAACAATTAGCCTACTTACCAGTCACAGGACCCAGAAGAACCACCATGGCAATCAGTCCAACATCAAGAATTGTTATTCGGCCTTCAACTGCCATGTTTTTCTTTTCTCCTCCTCTTCAAAGACAATATATTCTGATTTATTCTCAGTTACTTGTATAGCTCTCTAGGCTTCAGACTGCAGTCAGGCAAGAATATTTGTGCTTTGGAGAGTCCAGCATCACACTTTTTTTTTCAAAACAGCATGTTGTTTTGCATGCAAAAGCAAGTTGTTCATTTGAGAATGGCAATGAAATAGTATAAAACTATCTTAAAGGTCTTGCATTAACCTTCACTGCTTTTATTTCCTCCAGCAGGAAGCATCAACTGTAACCAAATGATGACTGTGATATCTGTCTACTGAGTGCCAGTGTCTGTTGTAACAAACCAAATGAACAAATCACATCAAACTTTGTTTTCCCCTTTGTTCCAAATCACGCGCCCCATACATTTGCCTACTCAGAGTTTAGCGCAGTTATATGGGACATCCCGAGACCGCAAGTGTCCTCGATGGCAACACAGTTTCTGGTACAGGGTAACATCCGTTTCGTGACTCCCGACTATTAAAATGTCCATTTGTCGTCATACTCCTCGCGTTCGTTATCTTTTGATCTTCGTTTCAGGAATTTTCGCTGTTTCCATGATCCGGGAAACTGAACCTTTTACGATTTTCGTCCGTACTCCAAACAAGGGGAACGGCAACAGAAGACGGCCAGAAAGGCACAGCAGACCAGACAGCGACTGGAAACGCCTCGTCTTCGGATTGTCTCTGTGATTCGATTGTTCGATGTGGGGGCCGATTTATAGGAGAAAAGACGCGAAGCGCCCTCATGCGACAGACTGGTAGAATGACACCATATGAAGACACTAAAGACAAAAATCAAGGCTGATAAATAAACACTGCCCTTAGAGCAGAGCTGTAAATACAAAAATAAACAATAAAGTTTAGCTGGACAGCCAATTTACAAATAATATAATACAGTATATTTTACAAATATCTAAATTCTAATTTAAATATAATTTAGTAAAAATCTTTATATTAGCCTATAAAAAATATTTATATAAATATTTTTGTAAATAAAAAATTATACCTTATTTTAAGTTATACTTTATTTAAATTGTTTTATTTTATTATATATTTATTATTTTTTAATATTATGTATGTAGCGCATGTGTGCATAATTTCACATTTTCACAAAGAATAATCGTATGCTACTATTTTCTAGTAGATGTGTAACACTGATGGGTATCAGTTTAAAAGCTATTTAATTATACCAAAAATACATAAGTAGGCTATTATACATTGTATATTTTACCTGTGTCTTTTGATATTTTTATAGCGTGATAGAGCCCATCTCTGGTCGTGGACCAGCACATCAGCAGCACGAGGGGAAAACAGCCCCACGCGCCTCAGCAACAGTAACGTAGTCTGGTGTGCGCGAGCACGGAACCACTGAGACTGAGGGAGCGCGCACCTCAACGCCAGCTGTCCTGTGAGGGGAACCCTTACCGCCCCTCCCCAAAAAGCATGTCTGCAACCGCGAAAAACACCGATTTTTGAGTCTTTTACCCTTCAGGCGATGAGGACCTGCTCATAAATTCACTCGCTTTGATATTACAGCTCTGGTATCACCTTTACACAGCGACAGCCCATCGACCACCGGCAGCACAGCAACGCCCATAGCAACGGCACTGCGCATCCTCATTCTGTTTCTCTGACCCAGCAACACCGGCCGCGCTCCACCAACAACCAACCTGTTTTTCAACGACCTTCTAAACGCTGGATCCATATCACACCGTTGTGTTTTTCCTTTTATCGCAAAGGACCATGAACGCGCCGTGTGCAGTTATTCTCTCATCAGTCAAAGGTGAGTACCCGTATGAAACACCATGCGCTAATATTTATCAATGCATTGCATATTATTGTTCTATTGTGGGTACTGTTTTTGCACGCAGAATAATTTAATCCCTGAAACAGTTATGGATTATGAATAATGTGACCAGTGTAATCTATATAGCATTGGCACAGACCGAGATGCATGCGGTTCATCGGCTTGTTTTCGTTATTCCTGAGCGCGGGGTGCGGTGCTGCAGATTTTACACTAACGCGACTCTGCGTCTGTTGCAATCATTTAGTCCATCGGCAAAAGCAATCATATTAGAGCTTTAATAATTAGACTTTTGACATCTCTTCATAAAATTATTTGTTTCAGTGATTCAGCAGAGTTTACGTTGTTTCATATGATATGTATATAATGTTTTGGATATTTATTTTAATGACGAATCATTTCACTTAAGATTTTATTTTATTAGTACATGTAATCGGTTTGGTCTTGCAGCGTGGTCTGCATTGCATTAACATTACACCTTATCTTAATTGGTTGCCATGGCAAACACGATGGCTGAAAACAGGCTTTAGGGGGCGCTATGTGGGTAAACAACATTACATTTTAAACAACAACCATTACAATCGCTCAGCCTTCAGTTGACTGCAGGCTGTTTTGTTTTTTTTCCATGAATGCATAAAAATCCATTTTACAGAATGTCAAACCAGTGCACAGATGGACTGAATTTCACAAAGTGACCTCAGTAATCTTGTGTTTTTTTGTTTATACATGGAAGGCACAGACAAAGAAAGAGAGAAAAAGATGTGTGTAGTAAAGAATAAAGAGATTGCGTAGAATGTAGGAAAAAAATGGGGACAGAGGTTAAAACGAAACCACACGAGCCACACATGATGGATTAAGAGATTATGAATAGAGGCCAAGAGATAATGATTGTTTTACTACAGGAGAGGAGGGTAAATGCTGGACCAGCTGGTCAGCAGTTTTTGCTGTGGAAGAATCAAAATAAAATGTAAAAAATTACAATTTAACCTTCAAATTTTGATTGATAATATATATCAAATATCTATGGGTCTATATAAAAATATCCTACTTTTTCCTCTCTTTTTACTTTAGTCACTCCTCATTCTGAAAGCCCTTCCTTCAGCTGAAACACTGAGGGATCCTCCTCCCTTCAACTCACCTGTAAGTTCTGGCCTATCAAGGACCTGGCAGCGGCACGGGAGCTCCGCCCACCACACCCTCTAAATGAGGGACAAGGCCACTCAGGTGAGACATTTATGCTGTTTATGCTATGCGTACATAACACATATGTACAATAAATGAACAAAATGACACCACAAAGAGAGAAAGAGTAGACCTGTAATTTACAAATTTCCAGTTTTAAAATGACGAGGACAGCCAGTTTACAATCATCAGTAAAATATGTAATTTATATAGTATAATTTACATATATAAATATAATTTTAATATAATATATTAAAATATTTATAATATTACAGGCAAGAAACACATGTTTTACATATTATTTATATTATTTATAATAGGTATATTATTTATATATGATATTATATATATTATTTTAAATTATAAATAAATATTTAACAGTATACAATATATATAATAGAAAATCAGCATATATGTTAATTTGCACACGCATACATACATAATGTTTTTTTGTTGTTGTTGCACAAGCACCCTGGGATAGTTTTCTGCTTGTTCATGTGTTATAGGGTGAAAAAAGTTTGTTCCATAATTTTCCTTAGTATGAAAAACATGCAAAAATGCAAACAAAGTTACTGTGATTATGCTGCGAAAAGAAAGAAAGAAAGAAAGAAAACAAATAATCTTCCCCATCCTTGAGCCGATTTATGAATGAATCAGTCGATGCTTGAATTGTTTGGTCCAATCTCTGTTTTCCCTTATTCTCTCACTTTTCTCCTTGTCAGACCCCTAGGGCCTGGGTAGATGAGCGGAGGAGAGGTTCTCATAAGCGATCGGCTTCCTGCGACAGCACTGACCAGCTTAAAGAGGTGAGACATCTAAAGCTGATCCAGTGTTCCTCATCCTCCACTTTTTTTTGTTTTTTTAATGTACTATGCTATTCATCATCTCTGTTTTGAATTCTTTTAGATCGCAAAATTGCGACAACAGCTCCAGCGGAGCAAACGCAGCAGCCGTCACCGCCGGGACAAAGACCGCAAGTCACCCTTTAATGGCAACCATACCATCATCCAGTCACAGGTGGGCATCATCGCATCCCTGCAGCCACCGTTTGTGCTTGTGTGCGAATAACAGGGTGCTCTTGTACATCATTAAGAAAACCTCCTTAGCCTCCTGGGCTAGTACATGATGCAGAATTGAAGTAGGCCAAACGTCTGGAGAATTTAATAGTGCCCCACTTTCCTGCAAATCTGTCCCAATTTTGACGCTTCTCTGGCCCTTTGAAACTGGGGGACAGGATTGTTCCAAAGGACAGTGGCTGGTTTTAGAGTAGATTACAAGTGTCCTCTTGCAGCCTGCCTTCACCAGCACAGCCTTTGAATGAAGAAGTTAACACATTGTATTTCTATGCGTGTGCATTTTTATAACAATTGTGCAATTAATTATGCATGACACCTCAGCAGTGTACAACAACCTAGCATCCAAATGAGCTCCCTGAGTAGAAGGCATTGTATTATAGGAATATTTCCAGATCTAGTACAAGTTAAGCTCAATCATCAGCATTTGTGTTGTAATGCTGATTACCACAAAAATAATTTTGACTTGAGAGTCGAGGTTATGGTGAGGTATTTACAATGGAAGTGAATGGAGGCAATTTTTGGAGGATTTAAAAGAAGAAATATGAAGCTTCTAATTTTATTTTTAAAAAAGCACTTGCAATTAAGGTGCATATTAACAGTTGCTCAACAAATTTAACAGGCGAAATAGGAATCTGCACGATCAAGAATTTCACATAACGTTGAAACATTTCCTCACACAGATTTTGCATCAGGTTCAACTTTTTCAACAAATTTGCTGCATTGACCAACAGATCGCTGCTTGGTTTGAGGTGACTTCGGTGTAAGCAGTGTTTTGTGCATTATTACACTATTGAAAGTGGACATTGGTCCTTTTTGCCAGTGAAATTTCAATAATGTGTCTGCGCATTAATTATTTTACTTGTGTATTATTTTAGCTGTAAAAATATTTTTAACAGTCCTTTTAGGGTTAAGATTTTTTAGGCATTATATTTTCATTGAGACAAGGTAAAATGAAATAAAACTTAACATAGAAAAGGTTAGTGAGCAGTTTTTTCCACACTAAAATCATGTAAGCGGCCATTTACACAGAACATGTTTATGCTTTGAAAAACTCAAACTTTTTTAAAACTTGAGCGCTGTTTTTAGAGCACCGTTTCATGCGTGAGACGCTGCAAAAGACACAAGATGCAAACGCAATGGTCAATCACGTCCATCTTCATGCTTACGTAGAAAAACAATGGAAAAGTAGCGCAGTAGAATGGAAAAACACATTCTTCATGAAGGGGCCCTTAACATGCATATCTTTTGGCTATACTACTAAAACAACAAGTATTTTAGGGCTGTGTTTCCCAAAAACATCGTAAGCCAAAGTAGATCATAGACCCATTGCCACCAATGGTCTCTATTATCAACTTAAAACGATGCTTAAATGCTTTTGAGAAACACGGCCTAGCTCTATTCACTTCCATCATATGTGCTTCACCGTAATCCAGATTTTTTTATTTATTTTTTTAAAGAAAAGGAAGAAATGGAAATTAGTTTTTGTTGTAATCAACATTATGCCACAATTTCCATAGATTAAGCTTAACTTGTACTAAACCTAGAATATCCCTTTTAAACATCTTTAAAGGGATACTCCACCCCAAAATGAAAATTTTGTCATTAATCACTTACCCCCATGTCGTTCCAAACCCGTAAAAGCTTCGTTCGTCTTCGGAACACAATTTAAGATATTTTGGATGAAAACCGGGAGGCTTGTGACTGTCCGATTGACTGCCAAGTAAATTACACTGTCAA